AGTATAGTACTGGCACAAAAACAGAAATATAGATCAATGGAACAGGATAGAAAGTCCAGAGATAAACCCATGCACCTATGGTCACCTAATCCATGACAAAGGGGGCAAGGATATTCAATGGAGAAAAGGCAGCCTCTTCAATAAGTGGTGGTGGGAAAACTGGAAAGCTACATGTAAAAGAATGAAATTAGAACACTACCTAACACCATACACAAAAATAAATGCAAAATGGATTAAAGACCTAAATGTAAGACTGGCTACTATAAAAGTCTTGGAGGAAAACATAGGCAGAACACTCCATGATATAAATTGCAAGATCTTTTTCAAGCCATCTCCCAGGATAATGGAAATAAAAACAAAAATAAACAAATGGGACCTAATTAAACTCAAAAGCTTCTGCACAGCAAAGGAAACCATAGACCAAATGAAAAAACAACCCACAGAATGGGAGAAAATATTTGCAGACAATGCAGCCTACAAGGGATTAATCTCCAAAATTTATAAACAGCTCATGTGGGTTAATATCAGAAAAACAACCCAACCAAAAAATGGGCAGAAGACCTAAATAGACATTTCTCCAAAGAAGACATACAGATGGCCAAGAGGCACAAGAAAAGATGCTCAACATCACTAACTATTAGAGAAATGCAAACCATAACTACAATGAGATATCACCTCACAACAGTCAGAATGTTCGTCATCAAAAAATCTACAAATAATAAATGCTGGAGAGGGTGTGGAGAAAACGGAACCCTCCTACACTGTTGGTGGGGATGTAAAATTGGTACAGCCACTATGGAGAACAATATGGATGTTTGTTTCTTAAAAAGCTAAAAATTAAGCTACCATATGATCCAGCAATCCCACTCCTGGGCATATATCCGGAGAAAAACATGGTTTGAATGGATACATGCATCCCAATGTTCACTGCAGCACTATTTAGAATAGCTGGGGCATGGAAGCAACCTAAATGTCCATCAACAGAAGAAAGGATAATGATGTGGTACCAATATACAATGGAATACTACTCAGCCATTAAAAAGAATGAAATAATGCCATTTGCAGCAACATGGATGGACCTGGAGATTATCATACTAAGTGAAGTAAGTCAGACAGACTTACATATGATAAAATTAAAAAATTTAAATTAAATTAAAATTTAAAAACATGATACAAATGAACTTATTTACAAAACAGAAACAGACTCACAGACTTAGAGAAGGAACGTAAGGTTACCAGGGGGAAAGGTGAGAAGGAGGGATAGATTAGGAATTTGGAATTGACATGTACACACTGCTATATTTAAAACAGATAACCAACAAGGACCTACTGTATAGCACAGGGAATTCTGCTCAATATTCTGTAATAACCTAAATGGGAAAATAATTTGAAAAACAATATATACATGTATAAGTGAATCACTGTGCTGTACACCTGAAACTAACACAACATTGCTAATCAACTCTGCTCCAATATAAAATAAAATTTTTTTAAAAATAGGAAATACTAGACATGACTTGAAGTTATGGTGGACAGATGAGGATCATAATGGAATACAATGGAGCAGCAACATGAAATGTTGAAAACATATGTAATGGTTAAAAACAGAAAAGCCTGTAATAAAGTAAAAACTTAAAACACTTTAAAAAAATGGCTACTACCTACAGGGCACAGCAAGAGGCAATGGAACGAGGAGTTCAGTCTTTCTTAGCTTAACATCACAGCTGTAGCCTGAGGGACATGTTCTAGTTGAACATACAGATAAGAGCTCATACAGTCTTTTCCAGGGACCTTGTAGAGTGGGCACTGTCTTTGCATTCTCTGTCATGCTCCAGAGCAACTGTACCTCCCAGAGGAGAACCTTTACAGTGTCTGATGCCCTGGTCTCTGTGGCTGCCACCCAAGGGATGCCACATGAATACCTGGCTCTGGTGGCCAGGGGAGCCTGTGTTCCTGGGTCCCATGGGACTGTAATGATCAGAGAGACAGTTCTACACACCCAAAGTCTTTCTGTGCTTGTTCTGGAGTTTCAGCCTGAGGCACAGGCTTCAGACCTTCACATCTAGAGGTCTTTGGAGCTACTTTCAGGTAACACAGAGTAGTGGAAGCCATCCTTGCACTCTACTTCTGCTTTGCTACAACTCATGTGTATCTCCTGGAAAGGAGCCCCAATTTTTGTCACTGGTAACCAGGCAACACCCTTGATTGCATGACTCTGGTAGTTACACTTATATTTGCTGTCCCTCAGGTTTGTATATATTTGCATACCTTAATAGCTGTTGCTGGGCTTCCTATCAGCCTGAATCTAGGTGCTGAATGAGATCCTCCCCTCCGGGACAATGACAAGTCTTGCACAACCACAACTAGTGAGAGCCATTAAAAATAAAATAGACTGCATTGGCAATCACACAAGTCTGAGAGAAAAATAAGAGTGAGGGCAGGATAGAACAATGAGATTCATCTCCTACACAAAGCCACTCTTTCAAGACCGGGAGAGGCAGCTGTTTTATCTAATGCATAAAAAACAACATAGAGATTCAAAGGAAATAAAGAAACAGAGGAATATGTCCGAAGGGAAAGAAAGAGATGAAACCCAGGTGTTGGGGAGGGGGGATGAATGAAGCAGGGATAAGTAATTTACCTGATAAAAAGTTCAAAGTAATGGTCAACAAGATGTTCACTACCTATGGAAAAGAACAGATGACCACAATGAGAACTTAAGCAAAGAGATAGAAAATATAAGAAAATAGCAAATAGAAGTCACAGAGCTAAAGAATACAGTTAATGAACTGAAAAATACAATAGAGGGGTTCAATAGCAGACCAGACAAAGCAGAAGTAAGGATCAATGAACTTGAAGACAGGGCATCAGAACTCACCCAGAGCAGCTAAAAGAAAAGAAAAAAAAAAATTGCAAAAGCACAGATAGATTAAGGAAATAACGTGACAATATCAGATGGATTAACATCCACATTACAGGTGTCCCAGAGGAAAAGAGAGAATGAAAGTAGCAGAAAACTTATTTCAAGATAAAACAGCTAACAACTTCCCTAACAGGGAGAAGGAAATAGGCATTCAGATCCAGAAAGGACAGAGAGTTCCAAACAAGATGAATCCAAAGAAACCCACACCAAGACACATTATAATTAAAATGTCAAATTTAACAGGAGAATCTTAAAATCAGCAAGAGATAAAACAACTTGTTATATACAAGGGAACCCCCATAAGATTATAAGCTTAGCTTTCAGCAGGAATTTATAGGCCAGAAGGTGTGGCTTTTAATTTTAATTGTATGTGTATGGCAGAGGGGAGTTTACCATAAACACATATATACTGTACATTTTCTTATTTACTGCTCATCCTACTTACCTTAGGTCAGGAGTATAATTTTTTTTTCAGAATTCTGAGCACTTGCCAAAGCTTTCTGACAATAAATATACCCTATCTGTCAACATACAGTAGACATTCATTTATGATTCATAATATTCTTTGTCTTCCCTCATTTATAAAACAGGAACCAAGAGTTTTCTTACTGTATTGAATGAAGTATAGAAATCTCATTTCAAAAAGCTGTTAATTATAAATGAAGTAAATCAAAATCATATTTTACAGATTTACTAAAAAAAATAATGTACATTGTCTATGTGATCTTGACTTCTCCAGAAGATGACATCTACCAGAAATCTTTTTTTTCTAAACCATGAATTATAAAATTGGAGGATTTATTAGGAATGATGTCAGCTTCATGGTGGTCTAAGTCATTTCTCTTCTTTTCTCTCCCTTTTTTAAACAACTAATTAGATATCCATAACCAAACAAAAATGCCTCTGCATTTTACACCAATGGACCTAGGAGGTTCCTAGCCCACAAAAGCATCAAAAGCTAAACAAGAACTTTGTAAGGGCTGTGGATACAAGGGATTCAGTGAACCTGCTCCACCCCCCACCCCAACTGGGCTTGATTAGGAAAAAAAAAAAATTGGAGAGGGTAAAACTGGGCAGATACCTATGGGCAAGAGAGAATTTATAAAAGTATAGCCTGCCAGAGGCGAGATTCTATCACCCCAATGAATCAAGAGAGAGGTCAGTTTGGACACAGAGGAGAGGGAGTAACACACCACCCTGCTACCAGGGCAACACTGCAAGGGGCTAAACTTTTGGCTGCTGTAGTGGTGATCCCTCCTGCAGAGGAGATGGGAAGCAAAAGTTGTGAGTGATTGCCCAGCCACCCCAGGTGTGTGGGTTACATCTGGAGAAACATGCTTGTTTCCAGCAGTTCTTGATTTCCGAGGAGGAACTTCCATGACTGGGGGGAAGGAGGAGAAAGAGAAGGAAGCCGATAAGAATATCGAAGAGCATTAAAGGAATATATTTCCTGTGGTTTGCTTCAGGACTTCAGCAGGAAGTCTACCCACCAACCTCTGGGAGTATTGCACTCAAGGATCTCCCTACCAGCCTCTGGGTAGCCCCAAATCACCAAGTGTTAAACCCACATCTCCCCCCCGCCCCGCCACTGCACTCTGTTGCTGGCTCCTTCTGCAAGCTCTCAAGTGCATCCTTAAGAGGGAACTGGAGTAGACGCATAGGGTGATCAGATAATAGGCAAGGGAGAAACTACAAAACTGAGCTATAACACCACCTTCTGGAATACAAAAGAAAGGTTGATTCTAATAGCCAGGCTGTTGAATTGTAAGAAGCAAAAAGTCATAAAAGCTTAGTTACAGAGATGTCTGCTACTTAGAAGAAACACATTTCAGCTCTAAAGACACACATAGGCTCAAAGTACAGGATAGAAGAAGGTATTTCATGCAAGTGGAAACCAAACTTAAGTGGGTATAACCATACCTATGTCAGATAAAATAGACTTGAAGCCAAAAATGGTAACTAAAGACAACGGTCATTATATAATGATAAAGGATTCAATACATCTAGAAGCTATAACAATCATAAACATATACACACACAACATTGGAGCACCTAAATGTATTAAGCAAATACTTACAGATCTGAAGGAAGAATTAGAGAGCAATACAGTAATAGTAGGAGATTTCAATACCCCACTGCCAGCAATGGATAGATCACCTGGAAAGAAAATCAAAAAGGAAATATTGGACTTGAACCATGCTTTAGACCAAAGAGACTTAGCAGACATATATAGAACATTCTCAAGTGGCTTGACCATCTGATAGGGAACAGATCAAGTCTTAGCAAATTTTAAAAGATTGAAATAATACCAACTATCTTTTCTGACCACAATGGTATGAAACAAAAAATCAAAAACAAAATGAAAGCTGGACAGTTTATAAATATGTGGAAACTAAACAACACATTTCTGAACTACCAATGGTTAAACAAAAAATAAAAATGGAAATTTAAAAAAATCTCTTGAAACAAATAAAAATGGAAACACAACTTACCAAATCCTATGAGATGCTGCAAAAGCAGTTCTAAGAGGGGAGTTCATGGCAATAAATGCCAACATCAAGAAACAAGAAAGATCTCAAGTAAACAACTTAACTTTATACCTCAAGGAAGTAAAAAAAAAGAGGAACAATGTAAGCCCAAATTTAGCAGAAGGAAGGAAATAATAAAGATCAGAATGGAAATAAAGGAACTAGAGATGAGAAAAACAAAAAGGATCAATGAAACAAAGAGCTTGTTTTTCAAAGAGGTAAACAAAATTGAGAAACCTTTAGCTAGACCCACCAAGAAAAAAAGAATGCTCAAATAAATAAAAATAGAAATTAAAGAGAAAAGTACTGATACTACATAAATACATAGGGACATAAGGGACTATAGGCATACCTCAGAGATATTACAGGTTCAGTTTCAGAACATTCCAATAAAGGAATTATAAAGTGAGTCACATAATTTTTTTGGTTTTCCAGTGCATATAAAAGTTATGTTTAGGGCTTCCCTGGTGGCGCAGTGGTTGAGAGTCTGCCTGCCAATGCAGGGGACACGGGTTCGAGCCCTGGTCTGGGAAGATCCCACATGCTGCGGAGCAACTGGGCCCGTGAGCCACAATTACTGAGCCTGCGCGTCTGGAGCCTGTGCTCCGCAACAAGAGAGGCCACGATAGTGAGAGGCCTGTGCACCACGATGAAGACTGGCCCCCGCTTGCCACAACTAGAGAAAGCCCTTGCACAGAAACGAAGACCCAACACAGCCATAAATAAATTAATTAATTTTAAAAAAGTTATGTTTACACTATACTGTAGTTTATTAAATGTGCAATAGCATTGTGTCTGAAAAATGTGTATACCTTAATTAAAAATACTTTATTGCTAAAAACTTTATTGCTAAAAAATACTTTAGTAATAAATCTTAATCTTTTTAAGATAGTAACATCAAAAGATCACTGATTACAGATCACCATAACAAAGATAACAATAATTAAAAGTTTGAAATATTGTGAGAATTATCAAAATGTGACAAAGAGACATGAAGTGAGCACATGCTGTTGCAAAAAATGGCACTGACGTAACTTGCTTGACTCAGGGTTGCCACAAACATTCAATTTGTAAAAAAAATGTAATATCTGGAAAGTGCAATAAAGCAAAGGGCAATAAAATGAGGTATGCCTGTACTATTAACAATTATATACCAATAAATTAGATAACCTAGGGGAAAAATGTTATCTATTCCTAGAAGCACACAACCCACCAAGACTAGATCAGGGAGAAATAGAAAATCTGAACAGACCAATAATGAGTACTAAGATGTTAAATGAGTAATCAAAAATCTGCCAACACAGAAAACCCCAGGACCAGATGACTTCACGGGTGAATTCTATCAAACATTTAAAGAAGAATTAATACCAATGCTTCTCAAACTCTTCCAAAAAATTGAAGAAAAGAGAACATTTCCCAACTCATTCTATAATTCAGCATTACTCTGATACCAAAACCAGATAAGAACTACCAAAATCAAACAATAGAAATAAAAACTATAGACCAATGTCCCTGATAAAAATAGATGTAGAATTTTTCAACAAAATATTAGCAAACTAAATTCAAGAACACATTAAAAGTATTATACATCATGACCAAATGGGATTTATCCTTGGGATGCAAGTATGTTTCAACATACACAATTCAATACATGTAATACATCACATTAATAGAATAAAAGATAAAAATTGCACGATCACCTCAGTAGGTGCAGAAAAACGTATAAGGTATAGAAGAAACATACCTCAACATAACAAAGGTCATATACAACAAACCCACAGATCACATCCTCAGTGGAGAAATATTGAAAGCTTTCCCTCTAAGATCAGGAACAAAGCAAGAATGCCCACTCTCACCCCTCTTATTCAATATAGTACTGGAAGTCCTAGCTAGAGCAATTAGGCAAGATAAAGAAATAAAATGCATCCAAATTGGAAAGGAAGAAGTAAAACTGACATTTTTATCAGATTATATGATTTTGTATATAAAAAATTCCAAAGGCACAACCAAAAAATTATTGGAATTGATCAGTGAATTCATTAAAGTTGGAGGATGTAAAATCAACATACAGAAATTACTGTATTTCTATACACTAATAATGAATCTTTTGAAAAATTTAAAGAAACTATCCTATTTACAATAAAATTACCTAGGAATAAATTTAACCAAGGAAGTGAAAGATCTGTAAAATGAAAACCACAAGACTTTATTGAAAGAAATCAAAGATGACACACAAAAAAATGAAAAGACATCCCATGTCCATGGATTGAAAGAATTCATATTATTAAAATGTCCATACTACCCAAAGCCCTCTATAGATTCACACAATCTTTAACAAAATTCCAATGGCCTTCTTCACAGAAATTTTGAAAAAGTCTAAAATTTGTATGGAACCACAAAAGACCCCAAATAGCCAAAACAATTCTGAGCAAGAAGAATAAAGACAAAGGTATTATACATCCTGATTTCAAACAATACTACAAAGCTATAATAATTAAAACAGTATGGTACTGGCATAAAAATTGACACATAAACCAATGGAATATGAATAGAGAAGCAACAATTAAACCCCCAAATACACAAAAAATTAATATTTTACAAGAGAGTCAAGAACATCCAATGGTGAAAGGACAGTCTCTTCAACAAGTGGTGCTGGGACAACTGGGTAAATACATGCAGAACAATGAAATTTGATCCCTATCTTATATCACTCACAAAAATTAACTCAAAGTGCACAAAGACTTAAACATAAGACCTGAGGCCATAATACTCCTAGAACATAGAGAAGAATTACTCAACATTGTTCTCATCAATGACTTTTTGTATATGTCACCAGAAGCACAAACAAAAAAAGCAAAAATTAACAAAAGGGACTGCATCGACTTAAAAGCTCTACACAGCAGAAGAAAAACAAAATGAAAAGGTAACCTATGGAATGGGAAAAAAAGTTGCAAACCATATATTGGATAAGGAGTTAACATCCAAAATATATCAAGAACTCATACAACTTAAAAACAAACAGACAAAAAATAAAAGAATCCAATTTAAAAATGAGTAGAGAAAGTAAAGAGACATTTCTCCAAAGAAGACATCCAAATGCCCAAGAGGTACATGAAAACATGCTCAACAGAACTAATCATCAGGGAAATGCAAATCAAAGCCACATTGAGATACCACCTCACAACTGTTAGAATAGCTATCATCAAAAAGACAAGAAATAACAAGTGTTGCAAGGACATGGAGAAAAGAGAAAACTTGAACACTGTTGGTGGGAATGTAAACTGGTGCAGCCACTATAGAAAACAATATGGATAGTCGTCAAAAAATTAAAAATAGATTTACCATATGGGCCAGCAAAGGAAATGGAAATGGAATATAGATGGAATATATGCACTCCCATTTACTGCAGCATAATTCAAATTAGCCAAAATATGGAAACAACTTAAGTGACCATCAATGGATGAGTGGATAAAAAAAGATGTGGTATGTGTACACACATACAGGCACACAGAGAAATATTATTGAGCCATGATAAAGAAGGACATCCTGCCATTTGCACCAACATGGATGGACCTTGAGGACACTATGCTAAGTGAGATAAGTCAGACAGAGATAGACAAATACTGTATGGTATCACTTATACGTGGAATCTAAAACAGCCAAACTTGTAAAAAGAGAGAGTAAAATGGTGGTTACCAGGAGGTAGGAGGGTGGGAGTGGAAGGAAAGGACAAACACTGTTTAAAGGTGCAAACTTGCAATGAGTAGTAAATAAATCCTAGAGATCTACTGGGTTGGCTAAAGAGTTCATTCAGTTTTTCCATAGCAGCTTACAGAAAAACCCAAATGAATTTTTTGGCCAACCCAATAAACCAGCACAGTGTAGTGATGTATTATAATCATCAAGCTTGGTAAGAGAGTAAATTTTAATTATTCCATCCAATAAAAAGAAATAATTAGGGACTTCCCTGGTGGTCCAGTGGTAAAGAATCCACCTTACAATGCAGGGGATGTGGGTTCGATCCTGGGTCAGGGAACTAAGATCCCACAACTAAACCTGCGCCACAACTACTGAGCTTGTGCGCCTCAACTAGAGTGCCTGCATGCCACCAACTACAGAGCCCACGCGCCCTGGAGCCTGCGTGCCACAACCTAGAGAGAGAAAACCCACATGCCACAACTAGAGAGAAACACATGATCCGCAAAAAGAGAAGCCACTGCAATGAGAAGCTGCACACCATAACTAGAGAAAGCCCGCATGCAGCAACAAAGACCCAATGCAGCCAAAAATAAATAAATTTATAAAAAAGATAAACTGTCACTTTTTTTGGCTCATCGAGAACACTGGCTCACAGAAGTAGAAAATTTAAATCATTAAATATTTCAAAGAAAATAGAGTAGTACAATTAATTCAAACAAAACAAGTAGTATTCATTCTGGGTGCTGGAATGTGGGGTTTGGAGAGCAGACCTAAGGGAGAGGACTGCTGTTGGCTGTGAGGAGACAGCCTGAGGGGACTGGAGTGAGGAAATCAGCTACTAGGAATGCCTGTGGAGGAAACTCGGACCACCACAGAAGTGAAGCACCATTGCTGAGTGTCATGCAAGGGGTGGGGCCACCACTGCAGCTTC